CGGGATGGGGAAGTGGCTGTGGGTAGCGCCCAAGGCAGGAGGGAAGCGGCACCAGCAGTGGAGGGTCGATCCCTTACCTGGCTGCAGAGCTGGGCACCCCTGGGCAGCTGCCCCGCACCGCCTCCACCTCCGGCACCAGCACGGCTACCTGCGGTGCCTGGACAAAGCACAGGCCGTTGGGGACGCCGCCGGGGAAGCCCCGCTCCCCAAACCCGTCCGGCGTGGCGTTAGCCTGCAACAGGCAAGTTTTCCAGCTCAGGCAGTGAAGTGTCAGGGGATGGTAGAGCGAGGCGGCACGGGATGGCACAGCATCCCTCCCTGCCCTGCCTGCGGCCAGGAAAATTCAGGCAATCCGTTGGAAACTCAAAAAACAGGACCCCACCCCCCCAGCAACTGATGGATATTAAAATCTTTCATCTTTGTGGCAGAATTGGTGCAAATCTGGTAAATAAAGAAGGACTTGGCCAGCGGTCCTTACTTTGCACTGAGCACTGCTGTTCCTAAAGAGGTGTACTCAATACACACTGCATCTTAGCTTTGCATTTTCCATAGCAAAACAAATCCAAATTCTGCCTATTAGCGTCTGGATGTCCAAAACAAAGCCTACACAGAGCACCTGTGTGCTAATCCAGCAGCAAAGCAAGCAAAAGGCTTGCACAGCAAAGGAAAAAAAACAATAAAATCAGAGACTCCAAGTGAAACAAATACACAAGCACCATTTATCTGAAACTCTCCGCTCCGCCCGTAAAAGAAGCGCCAGCATCACTGCTTACGCACGGTGCTTTCCCCTGCCGTAACTCCATCGGCAGTACCTGAAGTAAGCGATCGCTGTTCAGTAAGTCCAGCAGTTCTTCTTCAAATTCCTCCAAGGATGGGTACAGTTGGACAGACAGCCTCTCCAGATAGCAGGTGACCGGCTTCATCAGCCGGGGTTTCTGCAAGCAGTCACCTGAAAAGCCAAAGCGGTGGGCACAGGTCACGCTGCGGCTCAGGGGGACGTTGCCGGGACCACGGGGGCACCTGCAGCCAGACCTAAGCCGAAAGCAGCACCGGGGAGAGGTTGTGGCCATGCACAGGCTCCCTGGCTATGGGGCCACCACCTTTATGTGGCTGCGGGGTGTTTGCAGAGATGCACAATGA